ATACACTTTAGAATAATTAAGAAACAGCTCTAAAAACACTACGCATGTTATCGCACTGATCTTTTTATAAAATGTCTAAGTTCTACAATAACAGTGACAATCGACGGGTGGCAAATTACTCAATTGTCACCAACATTCTTCTATTACTCAATAGTACAAAATACAAATGTACGTATAATAGGACTGTAGCAAATTATATAATCAAATGTTTTATTTTGACGCCATCCAATCAAACGACATGAGTTCTAATATTCCCAAAACTTATGGTAAAATGTTACAACAAAAGTAATGAAACGGTAGAGCCACGCCGTCGTAGCGAATGATGGCTACAGTAGAAACACGCTTGCACTGAATACCACACAAATAGCAGCGTAGTACCACAGTTTAAAGACTCAAACTGTGGTAGTACTACAGTATCGTGTGATAATGACCGGAGACTAATTGACTGACTAGCTGTTCCTCGCGACTTCGCCCGCGTGTAATTTAGGGTTTTAATTTTTTGCGAGGAATCCTAATTATTTTTCTAAAATAAAAGTAGCTTAAGTTACCCCTTAGGACATCAGCTATCTGCCAGTGAAAATCCTGTCAAAATCGGTCCAGCCGTTTCGGAGATTAGCCGGAACAAACAGACAGACAGACAGATGGACAGACAGACAGACAGACAAAAACTTTAAAAATTGTATTTCTGTTATTAGTACCGTATATACTTTCGTATGCATTTAGTAAAAAACTGTAATTATGACATTACAAACAGACACTTAAATTTATTTGTATAGATATAGATATCACGACATTTCATCTTAGTTATTGAGGATGATAACGCTTCTGTATTTTGATTCTTAATTAAGGATAAATGGAGATGTCTTTGGATCACAGCATCTACTTACGTACGGAGCATGGGCTCGTTCTTTACTCTTTCTTTTTATCTAAATAATAATGTCCTACATTATGTTTTTAAAAAACGGCCGACTATGGGCTGCTGTTGAGAATTTCTTGACGGAAAAATCCACTAACTGATTTTTGGCAAGTCAGATCATAAATTATATACGCGAAATATCATTCGATCTCTTTATGATTATTCGATTCTTATATGACTTTTTCGATTCCTATAGTGCGTGAGGGTAATATGCTCATCCGGTTAATAAGGTCACTTTCTTATAACTCAAAAACTACAACCTTAAAAGCTTTTACAAAAATTTACTTCGCAAATATACGGTTAGCCACCGTAGAGTCTATATCACCTGAGGATGCCTCGTGTAGAGGCGAAACACGTGTCGTATTATCGTCAGTGGTGTGTCTTGCCTAGTGTAGTGGTGTTGGAAGTAGCAACACGTAGTAGCACAAGTAGACGGGGATAGTGCACGCAATTGAGGGAGGGCGGGAGGTGCTTCTTCATACTAGGTAAGACACATCATTTTATTTTATAACGCGGATATTTGCGAAGTAAATTTTTGTAAAAGCTTTTATATAATGGATTTCCGCAAAGTAACGCCTGATTCTATTAATTAAACTACAACCTTGTTTGCATAGATGGTTCTGTGATACGATAGCTCTTCATCAGTCAATCAAATAATAAAGGGTCAAAAGGGCGCTGCTTTTTCGACGCCATTTTGACAGTTGAGAACATTTTAAATATTTTGTTGTCGATTCTAGTATTGTGTAGTGTAGTAAGTTTTATTTAAGTTGATTTTTCGAAGTGTTTCTAATTATTGCCAAAGCTTGTTTGTTATTTTTTTCTTAATATATTAGTTATAATTTACGACTTTGTGTTTTTGTCTCTGTTCTCCTCCTAGTTTTGGTGTTATAGGGCGACAAATCTTAAGGCGACCATATTACCCTCACGTACCTTATTTCATTTTGGAACGTCTACACCGCCGACACGAGGCTCCGTGGCACATTGGCTTAGCAATGAGTTGCAGTACTGAGGGCCGCGGGTATTCGAATCCCGCACGGAACAAGTCTTTGTATGGCCTACGAATATTGTCCCAGGACTGGATGTTGTCCTTGTGAAATTTATGTTTACAAACTGCCCCTACGATACAAGAGAAATTTTACGTTTTAGAAAAATCCCAAAAAAAAACAGATAAAACTTGGACCCCCCACATCTCCTACTAAGGAGGTTGAAAGCAATTGCGTATAACGATATCAAGACTCGGACTGACCCTTGGGTAGAGGCAGATGTTGTGGTATACTACATCCAAGACTCTGAATTCGATTAATTGAAAGTTTATACAAAATGTTAAGAACACAAAATGTTGAGCATACAACCCTTTGTCGTTAGTTGAATCAAGGAAAAATCAGCATTCGACAAATGGCTGAATCGCCCAGATTAAATATACCACTTCATTCAGCTTAAAAATAAATATTTACATCGACGACGCAGGCATATAAGGCGAAAAGTTTTTGCACAGGAATATCAAATTCGCTGAAGCGCGGAGATTCTTCAATGTTTCAGTTTGTTTCCCATCAAAAACACCGTTGTTTTAATATCAAAATATTAACTTTACTAATGTGACACACAAAATTACAGTCCACCTGTTGGTAAGTGGCAATTCTGCAGGCCATGGATAGCCAACTTCAATTAAAAACAATAAAATATGCGTGAGTGTCGTGGAACACTCAGTTGGAATGAAGTTTATTTTTATAAATTAGGGTGACAAACGAGCACACAGTCCACCTGTTGGTAAGTGGTTGCTGTGGCCCATAGACATCTACAACTATCTTCGTTTGCGAATTAAAATGCAGATGCATTGTCAGCCGTGAGGACTAAGATGGAATGCCTCTTTTCCAGTAAAATCGGTCTCCGGTTTTCTACACTCACCATACGAAACACAGCAGCATTAAGTTGCTATTTTACGCTGGTATTCATTGTTCCTTTCGTAGTGTATTATTGTTGATAAACGTATTATATTACTGATTAACAAATACTCTGAAGCGTCATTTCAAAGAATATTTCTTTCATGGCAAGATAAGAAAAAGTGCGAGGGAGATCGATATTATTCCATCTCGCTCGCACTATAGAAAGAGGGTCGTGACGGAAAAATCTTACACTTTTTGTCGCCTAGCCCCCATCCGTCAAATTCGTACCGTGCGATAAAGAACTTCGTTCCAAACAGGCTATGGATGGTTACCTCTGAAAATCCTGCTCAAAGTTTAAAAACTTTTTTAAACTAAGTTTGTATAAAGAGGGTTATTATAATATTAAGGAATTTTTTCTCGAACCAGTGGTAATTAAACAAAAGAGTGACTTTCAATAAGTATTATTTATAATCTATATTGAATAAAAAAGTTTCTGTTTCTGTTTCAAAATTAAGATGACTTACAGCCTGGAATAATACTGACATATAATGCACCCTTCAGATTCAGAACAGGAGTACAAGCACTGCTGTTTGGCTGTATTAAAAGATGAAATGTTTCTCAGAATGAAATAATGCTACATCCTTGATTCTTCAGACCGGACACACGAAACAAGTAAGTGTGCTACCTACCCAGAGGTAGAAAAGGAGTCCACCTAGTAAAATCTTTGATTTTTTGTAACTTTTATCAAGAAAGTGATGTGCTTCTAACATTCTGCATTGTTAGTACTAGTATAGCTTCAGTATGACTTTATTACGTATATATTATAGTATTATGAAATTTACGTGGTAGAGCCATGCTGCAGCTATATTAGTAGTATAGTTGTAGTACGAATGGGTCGGCTCGACCAGGGAAGGACCACGCTCTCAGAGAAAACCAGCGTAAAATAGCAGCTTAACGCTGCTGTGTTTTGTATGGTGACCGGAGAATCGGAGACCGTTTTTACTGGCAGAGGCATTCCATATTAGTCCTCACGGGTGACAACGCATCTGCATCTTCAATCTTTATTGAGGATAGATGTAGATATCTATGGGCTATGGCAACCACTTACCATTAGGTGGACTGTGTGCTCGTTTGTCACTTTCTCCTATAAAAAAATTACAAAAAAAAATGAGTTCCAATTGCAAAATACAACAATAGAAAAGACCATTTCATTTATCTTATCTGTTTTACATGACAAAAATTATTCAGCAAAAAATTTTCTATGTATCCGCAAACTCATTTTATTTAGTGACTTATTTTAAGATCTTTACCGCAATAAATAAAACGTCTTACTATTTTAACTAATTTCTTAACAGTCAAGTTTTATTATATACTTTATTTTAACTTTTTAACGTGGTAGAGCCACGCTGCAGTTATATTATGGTTGTGGGATGAATAAGTCAGCTCGACCGCGGTAGGACCATGCTGTTACGGAGTACCAGCGTAAAATAGCAGCTTAATGCTGCTGTGTTTCGTATAGTGAGTATAGAGAACCGGAGACCCTCTTTACTGGAAACAAGGCATTCCATCTTAGTCCTCAGGGGTGCCAACGCATCTGTATTTTGATTCTTACTCGAGGATAAATATAGATGTCTATGTACCACTGTATCCATTTATCGTCAGGTTGACCGTGTGCTCTTATGTCGCTTACTCAATAAAAAAATATTTCTTTAATATGTATGTAATAACAACAATAATCAACGTGTTTAATAATCAATGCGTTTATGATACAATTAACATTTAATGGTATCATAAACGCATTGTTTACATGTTTATGCGTGGTTAGCCACTCTGCAACATACTGTGTCTGCATCACAAATAGGTCAGCACGACCAGGGAAGAACCTCGCTCTTACCGAGACATCGTAAAATAACCGCATAATTCCGTGTCTCGTATGGTGAGTGACAAGAACCGGAAATCCTTTTTGCTGGTCCGTTTTGGTACTCAATCTTCCGCGGAAATCCGTTTTGGTACTCAATCTTACTCCTCCTAGGAAGAATTGACAAGAATCGAAATGCAACTGCGTTGTCTAGATTTTGATTCTTAATCGAGGATAGATGTAGATATCTATGTGTCACAGTATCTACTTACCATCAAGTAGACTGTATCTGTATGCTCATTTTTCACCTCTATAAAAAAAAAGTTAAATTACACTAACTTACCTAATAACACGACGCACATAAATAAAATGCGTTGACTCCAATAAGAAAACATTTTACATAAAGTAATTGTCCAATTCTCACTTATAAAATTTCAACAACACTTCATAATTATTCTGATTTAACAAAATTATTAAATAATATTTGTTCACAATTTTCGGTAGTCATTCAACTTCAACGTCACATTTTTTAAAGTAATGTAAATTATATTCAAGCACTTAAAATAAACGTAACTGAATTAATAAACAATTTAAATTTGCAACTTATAATAAGCATTAAATAAAAAATATATAGGTGTTTTAATTTTAAAATTTATCGAGCGCGGATAACAAATAAAATTAAAATAATTATACGTCCGTACGATATGTCAGTCAGCTTAAAACTGAACTGAATCAACTGAACACTGAAGTTCTGTGCTGAAGTGAAAATGCGGAGGATTCTTAGACAGATATATATTCGTATAACTTTTGATATACAATTTATAACTATAAAAATATCACATAATGTAATCATATAATAAATTACCTATAAGAACAACAGAGTTAAGCACAAAATAAATAATAATACAAGAAGTATAAGCCTTGTATTAAGAAACGGAAACAATATGTGTGGTTTTTGGTTATTTCTATTTGATTAATGTAACATCTTCTTAGTTGGAAGTTTATGTGTATCTTCATATTATGTAAACATTCGTAAATTAGCAAACTTTTTCATCTCGTATGCTCGGAAATAAAGATACTCAGTCGAAATAAATTTAATTTACGCTTAATTGCATTATGAAGTCTTGTTAACGCGTAGTATATAGAAAAATTAAAGCTCCGACTTCATGTATAATTTTTTTTGTTTATTGTTTTCTGAAGTCGACTCTACCTTTTTATTGAAAGTTTAATATTTGTATATTTGACCTTTTTGAGTGGATTAAGGATCACTAGCTCAAGTATAAAGAATATTGTCTAAATAGTTACATTAAAAGAATAATTCTCTATTTGACCATCCTTTAAATAGTTACATTAAAAAAAATCATTCCCTATCTGACCATCCTTAGGGGTAAAATATTTTCTTCATTATTATATGGGGCCACCGCTGGCGTGTAATTTATTTAATAAATAAGAATCAATGAACTGTTTCACAATTGTGGAAGATTGTGAGTAACATACATACAATAATTTAAAATTATAAATTTTGTACAGCCAACTTTAATATAAGTTATTGAGGATAACTCAAAAACTATTTATCAGACCTATATGGGACCACATGAGAAGCACCAGCTTTCAAATAAAAAAGGAATCATCGAAATCGATTCACCTAGAAAAAAGTTATGAAGTAACATAAATAAAAAAACATACAGTCGAATTGAGCACCACCACATTTTTAAAGTCGGCAGAAAATGAGTCTAATTGTGAACTTTCTACTTTTTATGAAGTCGAGTAAAATTAAACGATATCTTATTCGACGTATGGCAGCAAAGATGTCTGGGTCCGTGTTTTTTTTACTACCAAAATAGGTGTTAAAATGATGGAACAATCATGTTCCGCGATATTTGGAAGTTTTCCAAGCCTATGAGTGTTTATGGATTACAAGTTTGCGCGTTTACCGCTAAAAAGAACCCCTTTGTCGTATCTCCTCAGTTTCAAGGCACTCCCCTTTTTGCTTCAGCCAGTATCGGAATCCTCGGCGTCGACATATCGAGTGATGTGCAGTTTCGTGGTCACTTGGAAGAGAAGCCCAAATTGGCCTCTAAAAAGCTTGGCGTGCTCAGCAATGCTGGACAGTATTTCATGCCGGCACACCGCCTCCAACTTTACAAAGCGCAGGTTCGGCCTCACATGGAATACTGTTCCCATCTCTGGGCTGGGGCTCCCCAGTGCCAGCTCCTTCCACTTGACCGCATCCAGGCAAAGCGGCTCGAATCGTCGGCGACCAAGTCCTTTCCTGAACTGGCGCTGCGAAGAGATGTTGCATCCCTTTGCATTTTGTTTCGCATTTACCACGGAGGGTGCTCTGAGGAATTGTTCGGATTAATCCCAGTCGTCAAATTTCACGAACGCACATCGCGGCAAAACTCCCGATACCATCCACACCATCTGGATGCTTGGCGGTCCACCATTGAACGTTTTACTAGGATGTTTGTTCCGCGTACGACCTCTCTGTGGAATAGCTTACCACCGGCGATTTTTCCGGACCGATAGGACTTAGGCACCTTCAAGAAAAGAGCTTACTCCTTTTTAAAAGGCCGGCAACGCACCTGCAATTCCCTTGGTGTTGCAGTTGTTCATGGGCGGCGGTAGTCACTTACCATCAGGTGAGCCGTATGCTCGTTTGCCCCCTCTCCTATAAAAAAAACCAAACCAAACTCCTTCAAAGATAGAAATAATTATGTTTCCTTCTTCGCGAAATCCTCCGCCGTACCCACCAACACAGAGGTTTCCTAACGCTTTTATTAGTTTCGCGTGTATCTATCTATCTATGTAACGGAATATTTTAATGTAATTTCCACCAATTTATAAACAACCGATTGACTTGAAAATTTGTATTCGCATCAAGGATCGATGATAATACAAATAATTTAATAACTTTATCCTAGTATCCTGATCAGGATCACCGGGACAAAATAAAATAAATTTATCTTTAGGGTGTTTCTTTACTTTTTTAAACCATATACGAGTAATTTATTTTAAATTCAACTCGTTTACGCATTAGCGAAACTCCCGCACATCCGACATTTTGCCACGACTTCTCTGAAGTGAAAATTGAATGTAATTATCGTGTGCATGTCGTTCAATGTACAAATGCCTTTAAATGGAATTGTTTCAATTTGATTCATCCGTTTAATATCCTGTCAATGTCTTGCAATAAATCTAAACTTGTTGTTTCTAAGTACAGACTGTAAACTAGCGGCTTATTTTTGGGTGGATGTAAAACTATAACTGATTTGCTTTTGCATAAATTCAAAGCGCAAGTAAAAATATTTTTTTACTTGGTAGAGCCACGCTGCAGCTATATTATCGCGATCACATAATCTCGACCGAGTAGGACGACGCTCTTACAGAATATCAGCGTAAACTTTGTTTCGTATGGTTAGTGTAGAGAACCGAAGTCCCTTTTTACTGGAAACGACGCATTTCACATTGGTTCTCAGGGGTGACAACGCATCAACATTTTGATTCTTAATTTAATATATGATAAATAATAAACCTTATAATAACATAATGATTTACGCGAACACTACACATTGAATAAAACTATTTTTACGGATTTTATCGCGTTTAATTAACTTATTTTATATTCCCGACGTTTCGGTTGCTTTCCAGCAACCGTGGTCACGGGGGACTGAGGTGATTGACGTCCCGATGTCAAAGTTAACCCTTGTCAAAGTTCTTATAATAACACTTATATATATATATATATATATATATATATATATATATATATATATATATATTTGTTGTATTTGTATAAGAGAAGGAAAAAGCATTCTTATAAAGAAGGGATATTATATATTAGACTTTATGACTATTAAAACATGTATGGACATAATGAGCACCCTTAAAAAATTACTTATAAATTTTATAAGGCTAGATTGTAACTATTGTAAGAATAATAGTATTCTTGTGAGTATGTAGTCTAACTCTTGCGTACAGGGTTATGACGTGGGGACATTGTCCATGACGCAAAACGTGGGAACATTGTAAGTTATCGCAGTGACATTGTCCATGATTGATTCATCGTCCATTGTCCATTTTTCAGAGTAGTCAAATTTTAAACTTAAGTTCAAATATATAAATAATGATATACCGTAATTTAGAGCCGTGGTAGCTCAGATGGTTAGCACTCGCGGTAAATTTCACAGTACGCGAGCAACCCGGGTTCGATCCCAGCCGGCACCAATGAAATTGTTAATTGCAATTTTAAGTGCTGATTTACCACGTGCTCGGCGGTGAAGGAAAACATCGTGAGGAAACCTGCATGTATTAGAAAAAGAAAAAGAAATATTTTCGAAACCAGGTGAAGTTCGTCAACAAGCTTTGGGGCAGCGCGGCGGACACTTCCTTGCCCTAAATCCCTCTCAGAAATGAGAGGAGGCCTATGCCCAGCAGTGGGACGTACATAGGCTGTAACTTTACTTTTTACTTTTATACCGTAATTGCAGTTTTTGGAAATACGAGTAAATAAGGCTTTTACTTTTATTTGAAGTTAAATGTGATTAATGGGCAACCATGTTTTTGCCTACCGATCGACCCTTACGAATGTATGCGTGCGCATTAAAATCAGTTAAAATAATGCATTACCACACACATTTTGAATTTAAAAGATAAAAAGGACAGAATTTTCTTGAAGTAATTTTTATTCAAAATTTGCCTACATTACTTTTGCTGAACCTTCTCTGCAAATTTGGCCGGTTATTGCAAAATAATCATCTGTAAGTATAGCATGTATAAGTATATTGTTATACGTGGTAGAGCCATGCTGCAGCTATATATCTGGTATAAGCTGCTATTTTCGTGCTACAACACGAAAATAGCAGCTTAACGCTGCTGTGTTTCGTATAGTGAGTTTAGAGAACCGGAGACCCTTTTTGCTGGATACGAGGCATTCTATCTTAGTCCTCACGGGTGACAACGCATCTGCATTTTGATTTGTAATCGAGGATAGATGTAGATGTCTATGGGCCACAGCAACCACTTATCATCAGGTGGACTTTGTGCTCGCTTATCACTTATCATATAAAAAAGTGAGTGTGACCAACGAACATACAGCCAGGATATATATTATCATCAGGATAAGTGAATGATATTGCGCATAGATGCTCATATTTATCCTTAAATGAAAACTCCACCATAAGTTAGCTCTGCCGCTGTCTAGCCGACTCTACCACATAAACTTTGATGAGGTCTGATTTTCTTCAACTCACCAGTTGTCGCTAGTTGACACTGATGTGAGGGATTTTTTTTACACAATGTTATTTAATTGAGCTGTTACTTTTAAATAAAAGTTTATCAGTTTTTAGAACATTATATTAAGCACACAAAACAACTTGAAGTGACGCTAGCCTAATGGCAGGATGCAGACCGCGAACTCAAAAGGTCGTGAGTTCGAATCCGCCATTCAACTACTATCGTGAAACACTCCCAAGCTCCCAACACAAGCATTTTAAGCTTACTAGAAGTGGTTAGTAATTTTAAAAAAAGAACAATGCCGCTGTGGTTTGATCTTTAACTCTTTTTTTTCTACTTCTATGACTATCTGTGGTTTGGTTTATTTATTTTTAGTCTAATTAATATAAAATACAACTAATAGTACAGAAAGGAACATTAACCTTTACAAATTTCGAACAAATTAACTTCCCAGTTATGAAATCTGTCAAATATTACAACTCATTTTTA